AAGCAATAGTCTCGGCTGCTTTACACAGAGCCTCAACTTCATATGTTTTCCTGCATTCCCTGGCCATTGTGTGTATTGAGTAAGGAAGGCAATACCGAAGCCATTTGTGTCGGCCGTATTAAACTACGCTGCTGGCCTTACCGCGACAACAACCTAACGGATACCAGCGTGTAGCAAGCTATCAACATGCGCTGGAGGCCTCTCCTTTTGTAACTTGCTTTGTACTTTGTACGACACACGCCGACATCCGACGACCTTAAATGTGTCCAGGATTCAAGACCCCTCATGCCCGCGGGATCGGGTGACTTTTGCGGAAAAGTCAGCCGTAAAAGTCATCTTCAAACACGGTGACTTTTACCCTTAGTAGCTTAACAGTAGATTGTTAGATATAGGCTAATAGTTGACTTTCAGGCTGCTTGTTTAGAGCTAATACGTTCACTTGTTCTTATGCATGCGTTGCCATCCACCACAACAACAACCTACATACCTCCAGCTTATTCCTGTTGCCTCCTTTAAGCTTTTTATACGCTCAGCGGCCATTCATATCTCAGGTGTCGATAGGAAAGCGTAGGCCTAACCCCGGGGTCCTTTCCGTTGCATGAGCGCGCCTCCTACCTCCCCATTCCCTTGCCCGTGCGGCCGCCCTTCCGCACGCGACGCCTGCCAACCCCTGGCTTTCCCCGTCGCGGCACCTGACTCTTCATACCTCTCCTCGTGTGGCGCCCCTGCTGCTACCCTGTTTAGGAGCACGGCAGGGCGCTGGCCTGGGTAATTCACTAGGACAGGGGGTGTCTGTATGCGCATGCATCCAACAGTTCGATAGTTGGGCGCGACTAGTGTGCGTACGACCATGGGCGCCGGTATTCGGGCGGGGAAGGGCGCGGGGAGGCAGGCGCCACACGGGGAAGGGCATAGAAGTCCCTCAGAGGGCCGCAGCGGCACCATACGGAGGAGGGCATGGGCACTGGCGCCGACGGGGCCCACGGGGAAGGGCATGGGAATCCCACGGGAGAACAAGCGGTATTGCGCAGGGGCAGGCACAAAGGTAGGCTGGGGCCGTGCAGAGACGGGTCTAAGGACGCAAGCGCCGCACAGGGAAGGGCAGGGAGGGGCAGGTGCTGCACATAAACGGGCGTCAGGAGGCAGGCCTCGGGCTGGCAACGTCATGGAGAGGCAGGCACGGTACGGGGAAGGGCATAGGGAGTTGGGAACCCAACCAGGGGCCGCGAAGCGCATGGGAAGGCAAATGCCGCGCATAGAAGGCATGACGGTGGTAGGCACAGAACTGGCTGGGAAGCGGCAAGGGAGGCAGGGGCTGCACGAGGGGAAGGCAGGCGTTGCACGGGGACAGATAAGAGTAGCACCCGTTCCCGCCTCCCCAACATCCATGGCCCCGCGGTATGATTCACAGTTGTTAGGTTACATGACCTATCCTTTGAATGTGGGCATTTAGTCGCTGAAGGACCCCGGGGCTAGCCTGCGCTCTCCTATCGACACCTGCCATATGTAGTGGTCGATGAGCGTGTAAAAGCTTAAAGGTGAGTAAGGCTGGATGTTTGCAGGTTGCTGTGGTGGTGGGTGGCTTCGCATGCATAAAAAAAAGTAACGTATTAGCTCAGGAGCTGCGAAGTAAGCAGCCTAAAAGTCAACTATTAGCCTATATCTAGCAATCTACTGTTAAGCTACTAAGGGTAAAAGTCACCGCGTTTGTAGACAGCTAAGTCTCCCGGTAACTTGTCATACTCGAGGTGGGATCATACTTTAGGTGGAATCCCACTTATAGTGGGATTGTACATAAAGATTTTTCGAGCTTTGACAAATCGCGCAATCCCACGTATAGTGGGATACCACTCATACAGCGACACTATTTGTGCCGGACACCACTTATGGTGGTATTCCACATATGGCTGTGCAGTTGCAAGTTGCCGAACATAGCCTGGTAAACCAATTACTGTGCTGCTGACACTGAGCTTTAATTAGTATACCAATGTTATCCGACCTCTCGTGAAAGCAGGGAATAAGGCGGAGGTCAATGTTCGGAGGCCAACATCCTTGGACACCACATCCTTAGAGCAGAAATGCAAGGTTATCAGCATACAAAGTTTGTAAAGGAGACTGTGCAGCTTATATGGCTTAACCTGCATCCTTTATGTGCCGCATGGCGCGCGAGCGATGGCATCAATTGGAATGCCTTGCTTGGGCGCTGCCCGCCCCTTGACTCGCATTCCCCTAGAACAAACAAGATGGATAGGGATCAGGTTGGCCTGGTTTAGTGGTATTACAGACGATAATGAGGACCAGGGTCCCGCGGGTCCAAGACATTTGGGAAACCTAAGGACATCTTGCGTATAGGGAACGTAAAACTAACATCACACCTAACAACGTAGGATAAACTAAAGGAGGTGCGCTGCTATCCCCCCTGTCACGCGGCGAAAAAACGGGGTGTGACAGGATTATTGTAGATCCCCACCATACATGACCTAGGTCTGCATCCCCAACCAGACTCGCATGGCGCAACCAATCGAGGCCCACGCTTGGCCACATGATACTACATGTCTAAGGAGTCTATGGGTGTGACGGCGAGGTCGGGATCTGCTCATACGGCCGGATAGGACCCCGAAACCTTGGGTTTGACTAGGCACCTCACCATGCACTCAGTCTGAGCGGCACATTCAGCCCAACCACACGCGCATGCGGCAACTAAACGAGGCCCACGCTTGGCCACATGATACTACATGTCTAAGGAGTCTATGGGTGTGACGGCGAGGTCGGGATCTGCTCATACGGCCGGATAGGACCCCGAAACCTTGGGTTTGACTAGGCACCTCACCATGCACTCAGTCTGAGCGGCACATTCAGCCCAACCACACGCGCATGCGGCAACTAAACGAGGCCCACGCTTGGCCACATGATACTACATGTCTAAGGAGTCTATGGGTGCGACGGCGAGGTCGGGATCTGCTCATACGGCCGGATAGGACCCCGAAACCTTGGGTTTGACTAGGCACCTCACCATGCACTCAGTCTGAGCGGCACATTCAGCCCAACCACACGCGCATGCGGCAACTAAACGAGCCCCACGCTTGGCCACATGATACTATATGTCTAAGGAGTCTATGGGTGTGACGGCGGGGTCGGGATCTGCTCATACGGCCGGATAGGACCCCGAAACCTTGGGTTTGACTAGGCACCTCACCATGCACTCAGTCTGAGCGGCACATTCAGCCCAACCACACTCGCACGGCGCAACCAATCGAGGCCCACGCTTGGCCATATGATACTACATGTCTAAGGAGTCTGTGGGTGTGACGGCGGGCTCAGGCGCCGCTCGCACGGTCAGATACGCACCCTAAACCCTGATTTATTTATGTCCCTGATTAAAGCCATATACCGCCCAAACAATGCGTGCATGCCGCAACCACTTCAGCATCGCGCTTGCTTACATGCTTTCTGACTTGTCTTACACCCGAACGGGCCTATCCTGTGTGTACCTCAAGGCCAGTGCGGTTTTGTAACGTTGTGCTGTCCCGTGGGCCCGTGATTTACTCATGGCAAGACTCCCCTTTAGAAGTCGCGCATTCAGGCTATATTTGATAGTTTGTTCAGTCCTGTCCTGGCGGTTTGAAGGGAGCAACGTTCGCGAGAGAGGATTCAGTTTGGTCAAACTGACCAGCATGGCCTCCAGCATTGTGCACCTCCAGCGCTTTCTGCGGCTTTTTGACAAATTGTTTCACAGTTTATGCTAGATAAAACGGCGCACTTTTGCAAACGCATATATGTGAAGGGCGGCTTTGCCAACGACTTTCGCCATGCTCCCTGCCTTCGGGAAAACTCGGAAAAGGATGCCATTGCGACACTCGGTCTAACGGTGCCCAGTATTCTATGAGTAACACAGTATTAAGTTCAGCAGTTGGGGCCAGTGTAGCGATATCTGGAATAACAGCATATGTGGAATCCCACCATATGTGGAATCCCACAATAAGTGGGATTGTGCATTTGATCAATCGCAAACATATTTGAGCGCAATCTGGCGCAATCCCACTATAAGTGGGATTCCACCTAAAGTATGATCCCACCTCGAGTATGACAAGTTACCGGGAGACTTAGCTGTTGTAGATGACTTTTACGGCTGACTTTTCCGCAAAAGTCACCCGATCCCGCGGGCGTGGGGCCTGTGCGCATGGGCTCGCCATGCTGTTTGGAATTGCTTATTCTACTTCTACCTTGCTGGGCGTGAAGGCGAACAGCAAGGAAAGGTACAATCTGTGGGACGCCAGTGCTTCACTGCTTGGTAACCTACATAACATTGTTGTCTAATCATATACTCAGCATCGTAATTACCATAACACTGGACCCCTAACGCGCATCAAGTAGCCTCCGTGGTGGCTCAACACGGCTTCAATACAGGTTACATGTCAAATAAGAAGTGCTCCAGCGGAAGGGACTATAAAAAGATGAGAACAACAGGTTTACGGTCACCCCAAGTAACCAGACCGGTCCATGCGTTATGCGCCCATGTGTTGGCATGCATCCATTGGATTAAGTGGGGCGTCTGTATGTGAAGGAGCTGATAACTGGCCTAAATTGTTGTCAGGGGTTCGCCGCACGTGGCGGCTGAGGGTCAAGCAGTTAGGCAAGTGCTATGCTGATGCACACTGCAATGCTCAACCATGCTTGGGTGGGAAGGGCGGGGCAGGCTGGACTATGCGTTGCTGCTTCGGAGCTCCTTTGCGACGGCACTTGTTTCGTGTTCCTGCCCAAAGGTGACACAAAGCCTCATTCATCCACCGGCAGTCATGGTCGAAGGAGTTGCGTCACGAAGTGACTCTTTCCAAGTAGGCACGTAACAGCGTGGACAACTAGGTCACAGGGTTATGTGATCGTGGGGCTTCATGGTATGGTCAGACGCCGAGAGTTGCCTACTGTGGTTTCATGGTATCCAAGAATTGCTGAGCCACTATGATAGCGCTCGCGGGGCACGGGCTCGAAGTCGTACGGACCCCACCATCTTTGCAGCTTGCCCCGAATGGACCCACACTGACGCCTTACATGTATTGCCGTGAACCAGCTCAGGTGCCCTGGGCACCGTACTGGTATATATCCCATGTAGCATCGAAATGCTATCGGGAGGAGCAAATGGACAAAGTTCAGCCACACAATAGCCGTACATGAACCGCGTGTCCGAACAAGCTGTGGGTATTGAATGCGCCGTTTACACAGCCCTTACAAAGCACGCCGCACCTAGGCGCCTACCAAGGCTGAAACTTGTCGGGATCCGCATTTCTGCCGTGCAATGAACTGCCGCGCGGTCTTCAACAACATGCACGGGATCAGCTTTCAGAACTCGGACGGTGCTGCTGGTGGTACGGAGGGAACTTGTGGAACAGTGACGTACTTCGCTCAGCAGTTGCGGTACATGGTACATGGGGTACGTGAGTTCGGCAGATGGGGTACATCGGAGCGGCAGTGTGTGGGAGAACGTTCCCAGCTCGTCCCTCAGTCCACGCGGCGCCAGTTGAGCGCGTGCAGGAAGTCAAGCCGCTTCTTCACGCCTACTCCAACTTCCGGTACGGTGGTAAGCCCATGTACGACGGTACAGGTACTCTTCGGGTACGGAAGGTCCATTGATTGGCGCATAGGTAATCCCGCCGTCGCCAAACAACGCTGTTGGGAACAGTCAGCGTCATCCACAAGTGTCGGGACCGGGCCACCAGGAATCAGAGCGTACTAGCCAGGCATTCCATCCTGCCATCCCACTCAATCTCTAGCACCGACCGCATCCCCATCCCGCAGCTAGCGAACAACCTAGTAATGACCGGTGTCTTCGATACTAGGACTGGGCAACAGTCGCCTGTTAGTGTGGCGGACATCAGTAACCCCCCGGCTAACGCCGATTGCAACGCCTCCAGGACAGCTTAGTCCGCCTACTACCCGACGCAAGACCCCATTGCTGGGGCACAACAACGCAAGCACACACAACCATGGCCCGTGCACCCACCTCCATGTGCGACATGGTACGGCATTAGATTTCGATACGGAGCCGCAATCCTGGCAGGTTGAGTCCGCCTAGCGATGCTCATGCACGACTGTGTGCCGGTCGCAGCACTACGATAGCGCCAGGTCCCCAGCACGAGGGCCATGCGGCATGCACGAGGGCTTGGCCGCAACCTGCACAGCGCCTCGCCCTGCCGCTGCAGCAGCTGTGCATGCATCGCAGAGAACGGCGCCCTCGCCCTGCATGCGGGCTCACGAATGTATCTTCAACAGTCCCCCTGTAAAAGGGAACCAAGGAGCGCGACGACACGCGTGCGCTCGGCCCAGGCATGCGGGTGTGAAGCCAGTCTTCAACGCGGGTTCCGGGCAATCTCCACAAGCAGACGGCGGCCGTTCCAATCGCGACCGTTCATGTCGCGCACAGCCTGTGGGCGTGCGGGGCGTCGTGCGGGGTCAGTAGGTGAAAGGGGTAACCACTTCAGGCTCAGGCCCAGCACAGCACTAACCGAGAAGCTCTACAAGTCATAAACCCTTAAGCGTCAACCTCAGGTTCTCTGATGGCAGGCTTGCGCACCATCCTCGACTTCACTGTCTCCCCGGTCCTATTTGTAGCTCAACCAGACATGTCGGCGCCAGCAGGTAGGCGTTTCCTAGGTCCAGCCCTTAAACCCATATCACAATCCCGTGCCCTTTCCCGCAACGAACAACGGCGCCTCAAAATGACTCACATCCTCCGCCTCCGATTCAGTCGTCATGACCACGAAAGCAAAGCCCCGGGACTCGCCCGACATGGGATGCCGTACAACTCGGGCCTCCTTCACCTTGCCGTACCGCGAAAACTTGTGCTCAAGGTCCTGGAAGGGGAAGCGGCATGGCTAGCATCTAAGCTGTTCTTCTCTGGTAGGTTTTCTGGTGGTTTCAAGGCTTATCCCATACTTCCCAACGCACAGGCGTGACGCATACCCCTGCCTGGTTCCCCCGGATGCCGTGCCCACACGCACCCGCTCGTTAATAATGAAGTTGATCCCCGCCACGAACAGCTGGGTGCCGACACGCGGTGGCGTGCGGCCTATGGGAGGCAGCCCATACCGCACAGGCGACCGTGACCTGCCAGGGGTTGGACGGATGGATGGGCAACAGGATTACAGCAGGCAAAGGCGACCATGCAGCCCAAGTCAGACATGAGGCGAAGGACATGGAATGGCTTGGATTTGCCTTCACCTCAAGCGTCCCTTCCCCCGTAACCTACCCGCCTCGTCGATCGCGGGACCTGGACCTGGACCTCCGGCGGTCCCTGAGGACAGCGGCGTAGAGGACACCGCTTAGCTTTAGGCGTATCCGATAGGAAGCCAGCTAAAGGAGGCTTGAGTAATATGTTTTGCACAATAGCAAGAAGGATAACCCCGATGGCATTCCAACGGCATTGCAACCCGACAGCTGGAAATGCCGCGCACCTGCTGCGTGACCTGCTCCGGTATTTGGTGTCACGATCCCTACTCCGGCTGCGGCTACGGCGACGGTAGTCTCGATCACGGCTGCGTGACCGCCTTGGCGGAGACCGCGCATCCCGCCTGACTGGCGACCGGCTGTGACTGCGCCTCGGTGAACGCCGTGGAGAGCGACGCGGTGAAGCTGAACGGCTTCGCACAGGTCGGACGTCCTGTGGCGTATGTAAGGACCATCCAAAATGTTGGGAGCCGTCTTCAAAGCAACGAATCTTTAGCAAAACCGCCAACAATAAGGTAACCCGGCTTATAGAAGGTAATTAAAGGCTTATGAAGAGCCTAATCCCTGCCCCTAGTGCACGCACCTCGCGATCCCGGCGGTCCCGGTCGCGGTCTCTACCGTCGCGGTCTCTATCCGGAGAGCTCATGTTGCACAGGTCAACAAAGTAACAACACTTCGAAGGAAGCGCGACAGCTTGTCCATGCAGCACGGGGCTGTGTTGTACGGGATCCTAATGCACGGCACCTGCTGCTGCTGCACATGAAAGCCCAGCATCTAGTCCAGGCGTTCGCATGCTACGGGTTTAAAGTCAATCGGCTTGCGAGCGTATTGACATGGGCTTTATTACCCGTCCATGAACTGCATCTCTGGGGCTGTAACGAGGTATACCCCCTTCCATACTTCAACCACAAGCGTAGATAGGAATGTCCGTGCTTCCAACCCCTCACGATGCGGGTCACCCGTTGACACGTCAACGTCAACCACTTCACCAAATCTATTGCAAAAGCATCATGCGCACAACGACCATATGCATGTAAGCATCCCACGGCGGAATCCCAACTAGGGCGTCAATGTGATACGTCTGGCCCACCCCCACTAACAGCGCTTCAACAAGAGTCTCGTGTCCATCCGACCCAATACGCATGCGCTAACGCCCTAACAAGGTGTGATACCCACAAGCCCAAAAGTTCTGTGCTGCCATGCGGTCATCAATGCTGCCCCTCCAAGGCTTCCAACTCACTCCGAAGCCACGCTTCGTACTCGGGGTAAGCCTGGTTCCAATCTGCCATACTCATGCCGTACAGCTCCCTGCGAAGGTACAACGACCTGCGGCCCAAGCAAGCATTCCGAACAAGGATGCAGGTTGGCGAGTCAGGAGCCGAGGGCACGCAAACAGAAGGGCTAACAAGGACGCAGCTTGCGGTTTCTTCGTCGAAGTTCATGCATGCAAGCAGCAGGGGGCGTACCGGTACCGGTACTGCATGGCGGGGGTTACGGCCAGCGTACGACAGCCTACAAAAGCCCCACCAACAGGGCTACCGGTGGAGGTCAAAAGAAAGCATAGGGCTGGAGTGCACAGCAGCGCAAACAAACCGCATGCAAGCTCACGCACGCACACAGCGGCACCCCTACTCAAACCCCTACCCATCCCTACCTAGCAAACCAGCCACGCATTGGGTACTACGTCGCCCCTCGCTTCCACACCCGGGCCCACCCCAGCCCCGTCGCCCCACCTCTCCTGGCCCCCTGCCGCCGCCGCCTTGGCCTCCGCTGCTGCCCAGTCCGCCGGCAGTCCCCGCTCCGCCACCCACTGCAACCGCAACAGCTGCCGCAACTCCGCACACAGCACGTCCGCAAGCGCCCGGCTGCTGGTGACCACCACAGAAGCCGCCGTACGGCTGCCGGGGGGGCTGCCGTACGGCGTGCTGAGGCTGTACGGTGGGAACGACGGCTCGTGATGAGCTGGCGTGAGGGTGTTGCTGCTGCTGCTGCTGCTGTGGCCGGTGCGGCTGCTGTCATGGAGCAGAAGCGGCCAGTCGGCGTGGTCTTGGATGGCACGAGCTCGAGCCCTCAGGTGCTCCGGTGGGAGGAGAGCCAGGCGGGGCTGGTGGACCAGCACCTCAAACGCGAGCTGCTTGGCACTGTTTGGGGTATACACCGTAGCAGGACGGGGGGGGCGACGCAAATGTCAACCGCAGCTGTTGCTGTAGCTGCGCGAAAGGTTAACGCCTTACATGCACTTGAACGCGCCCGCGTACCCACCCTGGTCCTGTCTTCCCTGTTAGTCGCCCCGCCAGCTCTTCCAGCGTGGCCACCGCCGCCGCCACGACCCATGGGTCCGCACCCAACAGTGACCCATGGGTCAGCGCTGACAAGTCCAGCGCAGCCTCCAGCGAGCTGCCCAGCGCCTCCCCTAGCGTCGCCAGCTCCTCCAGCACCTCGGCGAAGGGCCGCCCCAGCAGCCTGCCCGGCTTCCTCCGCAGCAGCTCGCGTGTGGGTGCGAGCGGCATCGCGGACATGAGCTCGACGGCGCGGTGGAGGGCAGTGGCGGGAGGCATGGCAGCCAGCCGCCGCTGCTCCTCGGGGTCCAAATCGGCAGGCCAGCTGGAGGTGGCGGCCAGGTAAAGCTGAGGCGGGGAATGTGGAAGGGGGAATGCAGGCGTACGGTAACGCGGAAGGTACCATGAGTGCAGGAGTGCGGCATGTGGATTTGTGGACGGCATGAGGGGCGTGGCGCAGTGCGGCGAACGGAGCATTGCAGGCGCACCCTGGGGGCCATACATTGACGTAATTAATTCCACGATACCGTGCATTAGACGAGGACATGCATGTGTGGGTGCTATCCCTATACGTGGGTGCGCCCGTCCCTTGATTGGTGCGCGGCTTAGGGGCAGAGTGATTTCCGCCGTACACCCACCAGGCTACGAAGCTCGTCCATCTCATCAGGTGCGCTGGAGACTCCTGCAGGGCCCTTTCCCACGACCCACGGGTCGCTGGAAGTTAGCCGCGCGTGTTGCAAATCCGCAGCCATTCCTGGTAAGCCGGTGGGTGGCGGCGGCGGCTCGTACATGCCTGGGCCCGAGCTGTCGTCAACAGCCGCCGTCCTTACCGCGTTCCTTGCGCTTATAGCATCGTGCACTTTAGTTCTAACTGTGGCAAGAGGCCGGCCCTTTGGGGTGCTACGCACTGTTGCTACGGCGTCTAGCGGGGTCGTATAGGGCACAGCCTTGGGAGTTGCTCGCCGCATGCAAAGCGCTATAACTTGCCCAGAGAGACGGTTACGCGTGAAGGCTGCAACCGAATCGCTCCCTGACACCATAGCTGCAGACGCAGTCATTGATGCGACGTTGAGCCCGGTCTGGGAAGCCTTCCGCTGAAGCAAACGTTTACCGGATGTACCGGAGGTACGTTGTGTTCAAAGTTTTATCGATAGTTTATGAAAAACGGGCGTTTAACGACAGCGAACAGTTGCTGGGGCACTTCACTACCGGGTAAGCTGTCTGCGCGATTCAGCTACTCCCAAGTGGGTGCTTTGTGGCGTCAGTTAAGAGAATGTATGCACGCGCTATTGCTTGCACTCTTGTTCCCAGATGGCAACATTTCCAGCACCAGAGCGTAACAGTTTACTCTTTGCCAGTGCTCTTGCCGATCTCACCACCCTCGCCATGATGACGCCTTATCACACGGTCAGTTAGTTGTTTCCTCTTTACCCTGACCACGTAAGGCAACCTAGCTGGTTCCGGCGGAAACTGCCTGGCTTTGACACATTCCTCATACGCGCCTTCGTTGTCCATGAGAGGATAAAGCTTGGTCATGCCCCAGACGCCGCACAGGATGCCTAGTGGCACTAATGCATAGGGTCCACACCATGCCTGGTCACTCCCCTATGCAAGCGTGCATGCGTGTGCTGCAGCCGAATGCCTGCTGGAGACAGCTGGGGCTTTGTCTGGGTGCTGGGGGAACCCGAAACCGGAAGCTCACAGCGTCCAAGACCCCAGTTCGGACGAGGGCGTCTGGCTTTCCGAGAGTGGATGGTAAGGGGGGATGTGGCTTGGTGCACCCGCCCCAGCCCAGAGGCCAAGGGTGTAACCAAGCCCCTGGGAGGCCATGCCTGGAGTAAATCTTAGTGCTCCTAGCCATAACGCAGACGTTACTAGATGACTTACTACCAAGACACGAGCATGCACTTTTATCCTTTTGTCCTTTTGAGTGACAGATGACAGCTTAGCTAGGGTAACTGGGTAGCAGCGGCCTTAATGGGGCCGGTGGCTGTGGCTGGGTTTGGTACGGCAACTTGCGCGTAAGGGCAATCGTCAAAGTTGCATTTTTGAAGCCAGGATACTTTACACTTGCTGGAAATGAACATTGTTACGTTGAGTTGCATATCGATAATGGGCCAGGGCACGAAACTAACAAACTGGTTATCACATCCGAGACGTTCTGAAGTTGACCGCTCCTTGTAATTTTGCAACTTACACACATTTATATTGTGGAGGTAGGTATCTATAAGCTACTTAATTTTCTGGACCTTTCTCCTCGACGTACCGTGTCATCCTCCATTCTTACAAGGTATTCTAGTGGCGCACGTATGGCACGTATGGAGATCACAGATAGCTCGCGCTGCTCTAGACGGAGGGACAGCCTTTTTTTGCTATGAGGGGTAGCCGATTGGGACTTGCTTGCAGACTGGCCTCGCGGAACGGCCGAAGGCCGCTTGATTGGCAACATGCAGAGCCTTAAGCCTCCTGATGATGACACCGATCTCGTAATTGACACCGACGGAATTAAACCCTTTGGAGGGGATAAGCCTGTTGTGAGCAGCCACTACCGGGGCGTGTGCTGGAACCGTAAGGTACGCCCATCGCCCCTTCAGCCGGCATTTGCACCTGCTCTCGTTTCCTGTGTGCGCTCTTCTTACACGGACTCAAGCCGCGTTGCCTCCCCGAACAGAACCGACGCTGGCAGGCTGCTATCAACTCAAATGGAAAGCATTTATATCTGGTAGGCGCAAGGGAGAGGAGGAGGGACAATAAGGCTTACGGCCTCACAGCATGTGCCTGAATCCTTCTCAGGCCTGGGCTATCTAACCTGTACGGTAAACCCGTCCGGCAACCACACCCCCAGGGCTCGTTCCAAAAGGAGGAAGAGGCTGCTCGGGCCTTTGACTGGGCTGCTATCAAGTTGAGGGGCAACCGAGGTACGTCGCAGTGACTTACCTAGGCACTTATCACCCTCGTAGGAACGTACAGCACGACCTGCGGAAACTAGCTCTACCAGCTGCGCTTACCCTGTTAACCCGGGTTAATGAGCTCACGGGGGTTCCACGCGACCGGCGCATGTCAAATACCGTACAAACCAAGCCCAAGCTTTGCCCCCGCATTGCTTCCTCGCCCTACCGTGGCTCTCTGCCCCACAGCCAGAACGAACTTTCCGTACGAATACTATGTTGACGAGCGTGGCAACATCCTGGACGAAAGGGCCATGTCCAAAATTGAGAGCATCCTGACGTCCAAATCCGAACACGGCAACGAGGATCCGGCTGAGGCTCCTGCGGGCGGTCTAGCGCTAGCGTCAACCCACATCAACCCCTGCAATGACGGCGGAGCCAAGCCGCCGCACTCTCATCCCCAGACACACCCGGGGTGCGGTGCTGAGGGGACCATTGCTGCGGACTGGCAGCGTCATGCAGCCCGCGGCGGCGGCGGTGGTGCGCAGCAGCCGCAATCGTACGGCATGGGTCCTCCCGTCAGCATGGGTCCGCCTGCCGCTACGGCCCCAGGTGCACCCGCCACATTCCGCTCTGTTGATCAGCAGCAGCAGCAGCCCCGGTATGTGACCACGCCAGCTAACGTGGCTCAGGTGCCCGGCATGCCTCCGCCTCCGCAGCACATGCACTCGATGGCGCCGCCGCCGCTAGCGCTGTACGGCGGCATGGGACATGCACCAGCGGCTCCGCACCCGCCTCCGCAAAACGGCGGCTGCGGCGGCAGCATAACCACAGGTGCCAGCGGTTACGACACCCCCGCTAAACAGCTGCATGCGGACCGTCAACAGGCGTGTGCTGCACGGAGCAGTGCAGGCAACAGCGCCGCGCCTGGTGCAGGTCTCCTCCGCACCTCCTCACTACCAGGGCTCTCCGTGCCCGACTCCGTACATCGTGCAATCCTGGATGAGCTGCCCGGCGGCTGCTCGCTGCTGGCAGTTGTGCCCAACCGCTCCAACCGGGGGGAGCTCGTGGGCGCGCTGTATCATGACAGCAGCCAACCGGGGCTGGTAGGCTCCTGCGTCTGGACGGGCAGCAGCGTCATACGCATGGGGCTGTACGACACGGAACGAGACGCGCGCCAGGCGGCGATCAAGTGCATGCAGCTGTACTTGGCGTTCTGCTCGGGCGACTGGCAGGTGGACTTTTACAACGCGCTGTCTGACATGAGCGGCGGAGCGGGTACGGCAGTAGAGGGTGCGGCAGCTGCTGTTGGTACCGCTGGCATGGCGGCGGCGTCCGGGGTGCACGGTGGTGAGGTGGTGGTGGATAGCGTCACACAGGGCACGGGGGTGCTACGGCCGCCGCCTCGGTCGCAGGTGCCGGTGCACTACGCCGGTGCAGGTGCCGGGCGCTATGACGCAGGGAGACACGGCGGTGTCGGCGTTGGCATGCCTGCCTGTGGCGGTGGAGGCATGGTGGGCGGTCCTGCAATGGCAGGAGGTGCATCTGTGATGATGGGGCAGCAACACCAGCCGCCGCCGCCGCCGCACCTTCATCAGCAGCAGCACCTACAGTCGCCGCCGCCGCAACCACAACAGCATCAACAGCTGGTGCTGCCGCACCACCCCCATCACCCCCAACCTCACTACCAGCACCGGCAGCACCCGGCATCAGCCATGACTATTCAGCAGCAGCAGGCACAAGGACCGGCGAGCCTCACTAGTCACGGCATGAGTGCTCACGGCGCCAACGGCGGCGTCATGTACGGTGGTGCCGACAACAGCGGCTGCAACGGCCTCGGCGTTTACCAGCAGGCGCCGCCGCCTTCGGCACAGCAGCAGCCACCACCAGCCTGCATGGCCGTTTCCCCCAGCAACGCAACAGGCAGCGGCGGCGCTCTTGAATGCACGGCAGCTGCGGCGCCGTTGCGAACCATGAGCTCGGGCCGGGGCGGTTTCGGAGATCTGTTCTCGTACGTGACCGGGTTCGACCCCCACCACAGTCAAAGAGCTGACGGAATAGCAGCCGTGGGGACCTACGCTGGAGGGCCGTCTCAGGGCGTAATGGCGGATGGCACGGGGCCGGGGCTCGGCAAACGTGCAGCGCTTGTTGACTACAACACCCTTGCATTCCAACAGCAGCAGCAGCTACAGCAGCAGCAGTCACAACAGCTGCAGCAGCCGCAGCGGCAAGCTTACCAGCAGGCAATGGTGCAGCATTCGGACGCGAAACGGACACGGGCGGATGCGGGACCGAACAACGGCATGAGTGCTGGCGATGCTCCCTTAGTATGCATGTAGGATCGGGGCTGCCCGTCAGCTCTTCAGCCATCGAGACGTTGTGATTACATAGGCTCTTAAGCTTTATAATTGGTAGGGTACGGATTTGGGTCTAGGAGAATAGTGGCAAAGGCGAGTACCACCTGATGTTTCTCCTCTTATGGTTTCTGAAAGAGTGCTCATGCGTGCGTCTTTCCTATCTTCCTGTTTTGCCTTAGAGAGGGCCTCTGCTGTGTGTACTTATGTGGTCGTGAAGACCGGGTGACGGTACCCCAATGGGGCCCATCAGGAAGAGAGCTCGAATGCACCTGTTTTGTTGGCGAGGCTGAGGAAAGCCAAGTCTCCCCCGATGTACATAGGTCCCCTACCCATGAAAGCTCAATACGTACTTACCGGTTGCGGTGGTTGGCTACAAGGCTTAATGGCTGGCATTCATGCATGTCCTTAAGTGCACGCGAGGGCGTGCGAAACCATTGCAGTGAACAATTACTCTGACGTTCTTGTTTGTACAATGCAACAAGAACGGTTGTCCCCTCTGTTGTCTTTTTGGTTCGGAAGGCTTGGAAGGAAGGCTGCTTAAAAGGAGGTTGTTGGCGGGGTGCTCCTTGTAGTCTCGTCGTAGCTCTTTGGCCGGTTGTGCCGGGCGGGAAACCCTTCATGCAGCTCGCAGGATGCCTAATGGGCTGAAGGCCGAGACTGTGACCGCAGGTGAACTGTGGGCGTTGGGGTTGGGTTCTTGCCGCTTCGACTTTCGGCCGCCATGCCTCCGTTGCAAGGTAAGCGCCTGGAGGTGCTACGTCGGGTTACTGAGTGGAGCAAAGCGTTGAACGACATGGAATGACACAGCATTGAAAATCCTTGACTGATGGATTCTGGATTTATGGTAAAGGAAGCAGAGCGTGTCGTATGCGCTCCGATTGTGCCTATCGGCTGTGGTGTAGGCCTGGTGCGGAGCAGCCCTCTCATGATGTACCGGTATTGTGTCGCTGTTCGGCTAGGGCCGAGTGGATGTCCTTTGGTTAGGAGCGTAAGCGAATGGCAACGGATGGGAGCATGACATTACTTCATTCATGTTCGAATCCCTTAGGATTAGGATTAGGTAGTCGCAGTGATCAGATGTTGGGGTAGCTCCCAACTAGGGTTGTTAACGAAGCTGCCCGTAACAAACACTTCATTTCACCGCCCACTCGTGTGTTGGGGGTTCTTCTCTATAGCTTTAACGGCTTTCCTCCCTTTCTACAGAGGCAGATGTAGGTAGCAGCCGGGACGTGATCCTTGGTCTTATTTTGTATCTTCCCCCGGATTACGAGGGCCCTTATAATTGTACCTTTATTGCCATTGGTGCCGCATACACATCTACCACCGGTACGTTTGATCCACCTCCCCACACGCATACAGAGTGAGCATATGGGCACGGGCCTGCCTGTGTGCCCCGAGCAATCCCTTCCTCATGTAATAAACCTCCATCATGTCCTACATCTCATATCCTACATAGGGCATGTTTTGCCCAAGCGCACCAATTAGATAAAGCTAACGCATTGTAAGCATCCACGCCACCCAAGTATTCAGGCGTGTAAGCGTCAGAAGCACCTCTCCCGAACTCTCAACGCCGTACAGAACTGGCGCCAGGTAACTTCGACATGAATGAGGACAGACAGAACATGTCACTAGGCATGCGTCACTCCTAGACTACAGCTTCCCTCGCTCCTCAGTAACCCCTCCAGTGAAAGCCTGGGACTGCTCACACCTTTGCACCCAACAGCCTTCCCAGTCTACTCTTCATTCCACTCATGCATGACACTGCTGCTACCAGCACGGCACCTGGCTTCACGCCAGCTTCATCCCTTCTGAACTCTCGGACGACATACCCCCAGGCGACACTCTTGGTACCGCATTTATTATTGGATGCATAATTGGCGATCAGAACACCATGCTATGCAACACACAACCCCAGCTTGCTACTGCCTCTGCCGCGGGCAACAGAACGAAATAGGAGCTGGGAAAGGAGAAAGCGGGCAACAAGCGAAGCGCCTGTTGCAGACAATGCGGACCCTCGCGTCCCAACAAGGGGCAACCCATGGCACCCAACGGGCAATCCTGCGTTAGTTGGATCGAAGCAATCTGATGGCCAACAAGATACCAACTGCCAAGGCACGTATGCCCTCCTAGTATGCCAACCCGCATTTCCCCACAACCACATCCCATACACAACCGAACGCCCGCTATAAAGGTTTTCTTCTCCAGTAACCTGCATTAACTAAAGAATTATATAGCCAGCAGGGGCGGCATGAACACGCCCCGCTGCTGGTAACCATGGCCAACACCCTCCACGCCACCGCCTACAGTAGTGGCTTATACCGACGCTTACGTGCGCCGGACAGGCGGTTTGCCCTGCTACACAGTTGCTGCTGCCGCGGCTCTCATTTTGCGTGCGCCTCAGTGCTACCAGACCACCAACCTTTGAACAGAGCCGCTTCACCCACACGCAAAGACGCACCCTATTCTTGCATGCGACGACTATTAAACGTGCATTGCCACTCGATGCTTCCTTCACCCTGGCCACATGCATCACAGCGCCCACCGGTATACAACGACAACGCCCCTCCAGCCCCTTCGGCCACAGTAGCTTCGCTGCAGACCCTCATTCGCTCCCCCGCCCCCTGCCGCTTCCGCCTCCACACGCACCCAGCACCCTCTTCATTACTGCAGGGCAAAGAGCTTCACCAACCCAACCGAGTTGGCGGCCAGCAGCACCGTGCCGCGCCGGCTCCAGCAAACACTGGAAACAAACTGCCCGCCCGCTGCGGGTGACGGCGAGGGTGACGGAGACGTCGTCATGGCAGCTGCCGCACCTCCAGTCCCGAACATCCCCCCACCTCCTGCAGCATTCAAGTCCGCTGCACCACCCGCCGATACAGCGTCCAGGCCACCCGTTCCTGATAACAGACTTCCCCCAGCCCCCATGCCACCGCCACCGCTGCTGTCGGCCCCGAGAAGCCCGCCTCGGTGCAGACCGTCTTCCGGGCTGCCGAAATCGTACGACGCGACGGGCATGGGCATGCACTGGCAGTAGCAGAAGACCCTGTTGGTTTCAGAGCCACATGCGATGTAGCCGTCAGGCGAGGCGGAGAGCCCTGTAAAGTTCCGCTCGTTGAGGTGGCCGCGAAAGACCCGGACACAGCTGGGAGACGGCGGCTGCAGACCGTGTGCATGCCCATCGTCGCCTGCTGCGTTGACTGCTGCTCCCAACTGCTCGTCCAACTGCCACAACCGAAGTGTGTTATCCGTAGACGCCGAAACGAGCTGCGTGGGCGAGAGAAACCGAACGTACGACACTGCTCTTGTGTGGCCTGGTACGACATGCAACGCACGCCCGGTGTTGCGGATGTCATACAGGTAGATCCGGTAGTTGGCGCAACCTGCGGCGAAGATGTGTGGCGAGTGCGGGCTGAACTGCACGGAGCACACGTTGGCTCGCAGGTCCAGCGTGGCCGTGCTGCTTTCCTGCTGGATGGACCAGAGCTTCACGAGGCCGTCGTCGCCGCCGCTAAGTAAGCGAGCAGGATCAGCCTGGGAGGATAAGGAGGAGGCGGAGGGTGTGCTATGTGAGGCGGCTGAGGCCACAAGCTGGCACATGCACCTCTGAACGGATGGTGTTGACTGTAATGGTAGCGGTGGTGGAAGCGAACGAGAATGCTTTCGAGATTAGGGAAGACATCAGAATCAAGTCAAGAACGACATGTCATCTCTCTCGCCATTCTACCAAGCGCGGACTCCGGCGTCCTTCCCCTGTCTGCTCTGCACCTGCCACCCTTCTCCCACATCCCCATTCACCCTCGCCGGCAACCACACCCGCCCCTACCGCTCCGCCCCTCCTTAAACACAGCCCGCCCACCTGCGAAAAGTCGATGCTCCACACGCGCTTCCTGTGCTCCTCAAACTGCATCAGCTCGCTGTTGGTGTTCGCATCCCACAGCTGTACCACGCCCTCGTAGTCCGAGTACGCCAGGTGCCCCTTAATGTAGCCGCTCCAAGCCACACTGCTCAACCGCGAGCGCGAGCTGATCTCCAGCACCGGGTAGTGTGCCCCCACCACACTGGTCTGCATGACCGCCTCCCGCTCGTAGATCTTGATGCGCTTGCTGACGCCAGCGACCGCAAAGAACTCGTCATCACGGTCGAACGCGGCTCCTGCAACCATGGAGCTAGAGGTGGGCGGGTCGCCGTAGCGCAAGCTTGCGACGGGCGTGAGGGAGGTGTAGGTGGCGAAGGACGCGAGGTCCTCCGCAAAGCGCAGCAGGGGCTCGGGAAGCAGCCCGCCGGCGTCTGCATGGTGGCTCCCGCGACGTGAGCTTGCAAGGGGGTGCGCCGGCTGTGGTTGCGGTAAGAGCGGGGCTGCTGCTGCATGGGGTTTGGTTGGGGCGGGTGAGGACGGTGGGTGCGGGTGCGGTTTAGGCCGGGGTGATGGGGAGGGCTGTGGTTGGGGCTGTCTAGGGCGGAGGTCTAGGAACACGGCCTCCAGCTGCTCGTACTTGTGCGCGATGCGGCACCACTTGCTCTGAGCCGCCTGGTGCTGCTCCGACCAGGCAGCGCTGTGGGCGGGTGTCAGGCCCGACACGTACAGCGCCGCGGCAGGACCGCCCCCCATGAGGGCAGGCACGCTGTAAGGAACAGCCGGTGTGGCCGCAGCGGCCGTCGGCGTTGTTGTGGTGGGGGAGGCCTTGGCGAGGCGGGGGTCCGTGGGCACGGAGGAGGGCTGTGTCGCAGCAGTGGCAGAGACGCTGCAGCCCTCGGTTGGACCCTGATCTTGCGGTGCCGGCGGCGCGAGGGACGGCGGAGCGGTGACGGCCCCGCCAGCATTGGCGACCACGGCAGTGGCGTTAGCGTTGGCGGCGGCGGCGGCTGAGCCCCGGTGGCGCTTCGCGGCTCGGGACTGCAGCATGTACTGCAGGTACTGCTCCACCATCTGGGCGTCGGCGGTGAGGGATCCCAGCTCCGCCTCCACCTGCGAGAGATGACCCATGGGTCAGTGGGGCGGACATTGCGCATGTTGGCAGCGGTTGGTAATGCGGCATGCCGGATCTGGTTGCTCCAGGTGTTGCACCAGGCGAAAGCCATAACAAGGTAACAATTTCTACGGTAAGCAGCATCACCGTGTAAAACACAAGCGCACACTGGGACGCAGCCACCTGCACCGCACCTGCGCCAGCTCAGCCAGCTTCCGCTTCCGCAGCATGCGCAGGAACTCCAGCAGCACCGCATCATCTGCCTGCAGCCCCCCGCAGGAGCTACCTACAGCGCCGCTAGCAGTACGGCCGGCAGCAGCAGCGGGTGCGCTGGCGCCATGCACGTCCGCAGGAACGGGACCGGTAGCAGGCCTTGTATCGCTCTCGCCAATGGCTGCACCACCCTGACGCTGCCCGTAAGCGACATCAGCAGCAGCGGCGGCGGCGTTGATACTGCCGTTTGCTAAGCGGTGGGGTTGCTGTAGCTGTTGTTGATGCTGCTTGCTTCCAGCACCCCTGCTCCCGCTGGCTGCACTGCCGCCGCTGTGGCCGTGGCTCTTGGCCAACCCACGACATGAATGCGGTCCGCTGGGTGTCACACCCCCTCCCATTCCGCCCCCTCTACCAGCACCTCCGCCACCGCCGCCGCCGCCGCCGCTGCTGCTGCTGCTGCCCCCTTTCCTGCTGCTGCCTCGCTGTCTGAGGCTGGCGCAGGTGCTCCGGAACATGGTGCTGCCCAGCAGCTCCCCCAGCGTGGGGCGGCAGGCGGGGTCGGGCTGCAGCAGCGCGCGCGCAAAGGCGGCCTCCTTGGGCTGCTGCCGGGCGAAGGAGGCGGGCAGGATCCGCTGCCTGGCGTCCTGCGGGTGCGGTGCGGGGGTGCATGAGTCGGGGCCGTTAAGGTGCTAGGGTGGGATGGGCGACAGTCATGAAAGAGGAACGTTAGGACCGCGGCATCCTTGTCCAGGGAGGGACGGACGGAGGGGAAACAGACATGCAGCAGCCCACTTCTACCAATCAAGCGGCCCACATCCCATCCGCCGCTCACCCGCAGCAACGCGGTTCGCTCCTGCCCCGAGGCGCTGTAAAACAGCTCCAAGAACAGCAGCCCCAGCGAAAACATGTCCGAGGCGGGAGTGGCGGGCTCGCCGCGCTCCTCTTCCGGGCTGCGATACAGCGCGTCCTCCTCGCTCTCGCCGGCCCCGACGACGGCAACAGCAGCTGCCCCAGACTGGGCGGGTGCCGCTGCTGGGGGCCCCAATGCCGCAGGGGCGCGCGCGGGGGGAAGTGCGGACTGCGTGGCCGGTGCTGTTGGGGCGGCATGTACTGGGAGAGTACTACTGCCTAGCCCTGCTTGGCAGGCTGTCGCCAGCGTCAGGTCGGGTTGCGGCTGATCTGATCCTGGTTGTTGTTGCTGGTAGTGGTGTTGGTGGTGATGCTGCTGCAATTGCTGCAGTTCAGCGTGGGGGCTAGGGCGTCCATGGCAATTGAGTGACCCCTGGCAAAGCTGTGCTCGGTGCTGTTGTCCTTGCTGTCGCTGCTGTTGTGATTGCTGCGGGGCGGCTGCATCGGGCAGGCTGCCGGACGCTGCACATGCCATGTGTCCGTTCGCCTGCTGCTGCTGCACATTCCCGGGGCTGCCTTCACGGGTGTCCCCACCGCTACCGCCGCAACCGAGCTTCCTCGCCACGCCGGCACTCTGCTCGCCTCCTGCAATGGCTGCAATGGCTGCCTCACATGCGGCTGCCTCGACGCCACCGTCCGCAGCTCCATGACACACACCCTCCTCCTCCTCCTCCGACTGCCGCCGTCGTCGCTTACGCCCATCCGAGCCGCCCGTGCTGCACCTTCCCTTTGCTGCCCCTGCCCCGGCTCCGGACCCTGTCCCCGCCCCCGCTGCACCGCCGGCGGTCCCTGCTCCAGCACCCGGCGCTGCCCCCGGCGCAAACGCGACACGGCCATTGCTGTACAGCACCAGCTTGCTAGGCCGCAGCCCGCATGAGCGCGGCGGCCCCTGCTGCTGTTGCTGAGCCGCCTGGCAGCTCTCCAGCAGCAGCAGCACCTCACAGAAGATCCAGAAGCTTTCTTTGGGCTGCACGCACCGAGAAGGACGCCGCAGCCACTTCAGCAGGTTCACCTTGGGCGCGCCAGCAGACCCCGAACCTGCACCTGCGCTTGCAGTCACGGCCATACAAGACCCAGCCCCGATGCCAGGAGGAGCAGCGCCTTCCACGCTGCTGCCGCGGCAGCAGCCTGCTGAGGGCGTGTAACCAGGGCAGCTGGCACATGGGGGGAAGCTGCTGTCGTTGCCGGCGTGAGCGGCGGCGTGCTTGGTTGCTGCTAGGTGCGGGTGTTGCTGCGGGCGTGGCGCGGGAGGGCCCATGCGGGCTGTGGCGGTTGCTGCTGCTGTACCCATCGCAGAGCCTGCAGCGGCGCATGTGTCCGAGTATGGAAGTGGGCGAGCGGCGGCCCCTTCTGCTGCTGCACTGGGTGGCGCAGCAGCAGCAGCGGTGCAGCTCAGGGTGTTCGAGGCGGAGATACCGGCCAGCAAGGCGAAGCGCATCTGCAAGGGGAGCGTTCTCGAGGTTAGGCCGGGTCAGTACGGTTGAAGAGCCGTGTCCGGCGGTGTTCTCCTTCACCGGCATACAGCACAGAACATACAAATGCCAACGTCTATTAGCGTTAGTAAGTAGCACGAGAACGTTCCGAAGACACTCAGACCCACATCCCCACCTTAGACCCCTTCTCTCCGATCCACGCATCCCCGCCAACCTGTCCATCCTCCGGCAACGGCGGCGACAGCGTCAACGGCCGCGCAGGCGCGCTGCCCGCGCCAGTGCTCGCCGCCAGCGCCGCGGCCCGCATCATGTCCCGAGCGACCTGCGGCGGCAACCCAATGCTGCCCAGACTACCCAGGCAGCCCAGGCCCAAGCTAAGGAGCGCCCCCCGCTCCAACGCAACACCATGGCTGGCTGCCCCGCCCGCGCTGGCGCTCGTAACCGCGGCCCCTGCTGGTATGATGGACCCAGTTCCCGCGGCTGTCTGCACAGTCGAGTCCTGAGGAGCCTGCATGGCGGGTGAAACCAAGGACACAATAGGCAGTCGGCTACGTCAATGCGTCCAACGATCCCGCCCTGCACGTGCTGTCATGCGCTCATGTCCCGCACCACTCCTTGCAACGGAACAGCGCACCCACGCCGGCAACCAGCGCAGGCAGCCGGCGCATCCCTACCTCCAAGGCTGCAGGCGGCTGCGCCGCGGCTGCGTGGTAGCGCCGCATGACGTGCATCCAGATGTTCTGTACCTCCTTGCGCGTGACGGGCTTGACCTGGAGGCAGGGAGGCGCGGAGGAGAGGTTGATGGGGACCCATGTGGCTGTTCTTCAGCGTCTGGCCTGGGTCCCGGAAGCTTGCCCGCATACCAGCACCCCTTTTTTAGACCCAAGTAAATCCCCACGCCATCCACTCCTGTGTCCTCCGTACCGGTGCCGAGTCCCTACGCACTGAGGAACGTCACCCACCAGATACTCGTCAGCGCTTCCCAGCAGCGCCGCGCACATGGTCTCCTGCTCCTCACTTGCGGACATCACTGCGGAGAGGAAGTGCGATCAGGACATGCACGCCATAGGGTGCGAAGAGCGGGAGCGAAGGGGCTTCGAAAGAGGAGTGGTAACATTGCGTAAGCCCTGGTGACCACACCGGAAGCTGGGGAACACCAGCCACAGGAAAGCTGCTCGTACGCAACCGCCGCCATTTCCCCGGCAAGGGAGGTCACCCGGTCAAGCACGTGCAGGTAGTGCGGCGCGACGTGATGGCTGCCGGACTGCTGTGGGATCGCTACTCACTTATGACGGGCACGTTGTACAGGTGCTGGTGGCTGCGCACGAAACGCAACAGCTCCAACCCTCCCACGTCCGGCATCATCACATCCTGCAAAGTGGTTTGACCATGTCAAAGCTGGCCTTCTAGCGTCTTTGTGAGCGCGCTGACGCCGGCTATTCCAGGCGCCAGCTATTCCGTGTGTCGCCATGCAACCGTCGCATGCGACCATGCAAGGACCTACCGTCAAGATAAGCTGGAAGGCGCCAGGGCCTGCTTTAGATAATACATCAAGCGCCTGGGTTCCGCTTTCCGCGATGGTGACTGCAGAAAAGTGACCACGTCCGATACTATGAGGCGTGTGTGGCCACAAACCGTTGTGACCAACGTGCGAAAGCCCAACCTTTGTATTTGCAAGCCCGCAGTAGGTTGCCAACTACTAAGCGAGTAAGGCGTTCGTCGTCCACAAGCAATACGTGTATGTCGCTTGGATTGAAGGGACTCAGGACAGGTTGGGCAGCTATCGCTCCAAGCCCGTCCATGTTTGACGGCAGCGCTGCTGCCATCCCTATTTGCTGCTCTTATGCAGCCGCAGATACAGCTACACCGCTGCATAGATACGTTTTCGCGACCTTTATTGTGGTGGTTTGGAAGCCAGGCATCGTCGCTGATATATTCATCGGTATTACATTATTAAACCAAGCATTGTAACATATTGTAGCAAGAGCTTGTTGGTACTGCCAAAACCATGACCAGGCAAAATGTGCGATCCAGAACCACGCGCTACTGCAACTTACAACTTTCCGTTCATGTATGCCTGGACATACTCTCCTGCAAAAAGCAAAAGGTCTGCCACAAGGATGAGGCCGACCAATTTCAGGGCGCCGTCAATGCTGCCCAGGCCCTTGTTCTGCTCCTGCTGTACTTCCGTCCAGCCGATGGCCTCGCTCAGGCCGCCGATGCCCGCATATCGGATGTCGACATCGCCCACCGTGGGCACTTCACCTGTAGACAATGAATTGGCCCAAGCGCATACAAACAGTAAGGTGTGGTCGCCGCGCACTTACTCATCCAACGATTTGCTAGCCGTTCGGCTACGGAACGGTACGGTAGGGCGTCCACAGACGCGAAATCCACACCCCCACCACCCAGCTGTCTCCCCAGTCCTCCTCACCCTTCTTGCAGCTGTCGAAGCCGCCGTTGACCCACGCCAGAGTCTCATAGCCCGCGATGCTCAGCTGCTCGCACGCGGCCAGCGACCGCAGCCCCTTCTGGCAGCCAACCACCAGCCGCGCCGTCTTAGGGACCTTCGCCTGGCGGAGGGGGGAATTGGAAAGGGGAGGCCGTTTCTTGGTAATGGCATGCATCTACACCGTGTTCGCAGTTTCCGTAGGTTGCTGCACGCCAATGCCTCCAACTCACTAAGCCCCGGTAAGCTGAGGGCACCCAGTCCCTCAAACCAGCTCTCAGCCCAGTACCCGACTCTACCTGCAGCAATTCCCCGCCCTATGTGCTCATCTCCATGCAACTTCCCTGAAGCCCCATGCCCCATGCCAAGCACCACCTGCTATCTCCTCTTCCCTCAATGCCCCATCGCCATCCCTAGCCATGCGGCACTGGGTACCCCTCCCCCGCACGTTACGCTTGTGTCGCCACCACAGCCAGCCCCGCTCCCGGCCCCCGCTGGCCTACCGCCCGCACCTGCACCTCCGCCAGGAAGCGCTGGTTGGGCACCATGTGGGTGCCGCCCAGCCACCAGCCGCCCATGCCGAACGCCGACAGCCGCTTGATCAGCGAGGAGGGGCTCAGCGACTCGTCCTCCACAAACAGGGGCACCTGCGCGCGCCGTGTTGGGAGAGGTGCGCATGAGGGGTCAGTTGGGCTGGTACCAAGTCATCTGCCGCTTTGTTTTGCGCGCAGGTGCCGTGCACGCACGATGCATCAGGTGGCAGCCAGTAAACGCGCAGCCAGAGCTTCCCAGCCAACCTACCGCTTTTGCCCTCCTCGGCCCTCTTTCCCAACCAGAACATAAGCGACAACACCATCCTACCCCGGATACGCGACAAAAGCAAACACCGCAACTCATGCCAACTATCAACAACAACCCGCATGCCCAGCACACCCGTGGCCGCGCGCCTATCGTATCCCCAACCCCCCGTGTCCCGCAATCCATGGTGCAGCCCCGTCATACAGCTCATCCGTTTCTTCCCCTTTGACCCGTATCCCGCGGCCTTGTCCATTTGTCATCCTTGATGCCCCCCGCAGCCGCACCCAGCCATGCACCCACCTCCACGGCGCCCTTGATACGCGCCTTGCTAGCCTCGCTAGGCGGCCGCACGTCCAGCAGCACCCAGCCGTCTGCCAGGTGCTGCCGGATGTCGGCACCGGACAGGTTGCGGACCTGGGAGGGGGATGGCAGCGAGTTGGAGGTGGCGTTCGGTGGCTGAGGTGGGGGTGGGGTAATGCGGGCAGCATGCAGGATAGGAGCGGAATGCGGGTGTGGGGTCGCACGGTTAAGGCGGGTTGGTTGGGTGGGTTGAGGGAAAAGGACACACAGGACGAGGAGGGGGCGCCACGTCAGAGCTTGTGGAAAGAAACACACGGATGGGGTGCGGTGAAGCGGGGTGGGACAGGTGGATACAGCACCACCAGAGGGCAGCGTTGGGGAGCGAGGATACAACAGTGGAAAGGGCCCGGGATGACGAGACCTGGCAGTGGCTTGGTGAAGAAGGGAAAGGCATTATAGGTAGGGGCCAAGCCTAACATGACCGGGACGACCGGGCAGGGGCATGCTTCCATGCCATGAATCCATGCTGCCCATGTTAGCGGTAGTTAGCTAGTTACACCGGACTGACTACAGAAGCATACTGGTAGTGCAGTCACGCACCGCACCTTGCCCTCCATGACTTGTGCGTCCCAGCGCTGCTCTTGCTTGCCGGTGCTGGCTTGCTGCTGTACCGCTTGAATCCGCAGGACACGGGCCGCCGGGGCTGTCCGCATGGGGGCCGCCCGCAGGGTTCCATGGCGCACAAAGGCTGTACGGCGAGCGCAGGGCTGCATGGAGGCTGGAACGGAAGTCTTCATGGCGACGTTCATCTTTGCGATAACGGTTGAGCTCTACCTAAGCCTGAACGCAGGGAGCAATGGTGAGCATGTTGATATGGGTCGGACCTGATTAAGAAGGACTGCGAAGCTGCAATTGTGAGTTAATAAATATGTATTGGTGAGGACACCCGTGCATATGAAGACGCGGACAAACGCCACTTGCTGCGACTTGCGTCGGTCCGCATTTCGCGATTGTGTGTAGCCCGCCCGCCCCATGCGGAATCTATGAAACTAATGAAGGCAGTCGTCAGGATACTAAGCACAGAGCAAGACCTGGATGTTGCATGTGGAGATGCTGTGCACAAAGCAGCAATACGAACGCCCGCATGCTGAACGTGTGTACCAGTACCTTGATTGCCAATGCCCAGTAAGGAGTATGCCTCCTGGTATGTAAGCTATCCAATCACTGTCGTAGAAACAGGGATCAAGATGGGAAATAATGTTGTGCAAGGCGTGTCGCTGGGTACCGGTATGTCACGTCCCTAACCAGCGAACTAGATCGCAGCTATGTAGTTCCCCTACCGAATTAAGGATACACGGCCTATTAGTCCGTTTTCCAGTAAGGTGGCTTAAGCGATTCCAGATCGTCATATTGCCGTGCAGCTTCGGAGCGATGACTACAACCAGTCCAGCCGACAACTCCTGAGGAACGCAACTAGGTAGGATTTTGTGCGTCTGTGTCCCTTATAGGCGTCAACACTCTTCCCCGCCATTTCGAAGGAACTCGGCAGCCACCGTCATTTTGTAACCTCATTATATCTCAAATAAACCCACTGACCAGTACAATCATGACGGATAAAGCGGATATAGCGTTAGACGTCACCACCTTATGTAATGTTGACCCAGCAGTGCTATCTGGACTCCGCGTTGGCCAGCGTCTATTTCTATCAACACAGGGGGAGCAGACAGTCCCCAGTTTCTGCACGGAAGCCGGTGTACAGCTTGCGCCACTGTCGGACCCTAACATGGCCGTCAGATTCCCGAACCCGAAGGTCATAATCCGCGCCATTAAACGGGATGCTGGTTCTGGTGCTATACAGAGTCTGCAAGTGCGGTTATACCGCGCAGACGACGCAGGCAAGTCGGTTCGGACCCTCCGGGTCATGCCGCCCGGTGGTGTTATCGGCAAACCACAGGATGACTGCTTCCCGGAAAACCACAGGATTACTGCTTCCAAATGCCAGGCGCGTCTCTCCATATCTCGTGACCCAGCTCCTTCCACCATATCCTAGACAAAGCCCTCTCCTTTCACATGTGACAATGGAAATCATGCCACTGTCCTTCCGTATCGCCTTGCATGCGCAGGGCCCAGCGCTCCGGGCCCAAGTACCGCTGCGGCGGCCTCCAGCGCGGGAACAGTAGCTGCTCCCATTGCTGACGACGCTGGTGACGGCGCCCTTGCGGATGAGGAGTGCGAATACAAGCTTCGGAAAGCGCAGTACCAGGCCCTGGGTAGGTCCCCTTGACCCCAAGGATACCGGTTTTGTTACAGAGGGCAGTGGGGACGGCTTGTTTCCCACCCCTAGGCAAACGATTTGTCGGTGTTACCTGTACCCGTCATATGACGGCCGGGTGCTTGCTTGTGTAACGCCAGTTACTTCATGCTCCATACATGTTTGACGCGAGGCATGCTTTCGCAGAGTGACCTGTGGGGAAGGCCCTATGGTGATTGCCTCCCTGGGCTGCTCCTTATGGCCAGCCTGTGCAACTGGTAGCACGCACACGGTCCTACCCGCTTAACCGCCTGCCCGTAGCCACTGTCGTGACGATGCTCTTGCCTAATACCCCATTACTTCACTGCCGCAGCGGAAGACGCGGAGTTGCAGAAGACGCTGGCTGATTCTCGGCTCCAGGAGGCGCTAAGGCACATTGACAGCGCACCGGATAGAGAAAAGGTGCGTGCGTAGCTTGGCACGCCGCAGTTCCGGCATGTCGGGGCCGTTGCGCTTGGGTCGCGCCTCCAGCCAGTGCCAGCCGTGGCTAGCGCACCCTGGGGTGTGTGCTGCAACATTCCTATCATGCTCCCGGACACTCTATGGCGAACTGACTGCTCACGCCACACATGCGCGGCACGTCCGACCCAAATCGGTTTGCTTGCAGGTTGCAACATGCTTGCCTGCAAGAAACGTTACGCCTTTTGCCTGCGTATCCTTACCATGCATGAAGCCATGCACGCTTGCCAGGACTCAAGTGCGAGTTTAAGCCCATGCTGCCGTGCCACCTGCATGCGGTGCAGGCCCTGAAGGTGCAGCTTGAGAACCCTGGGTTCCAGGGCTTCGTATCACAGGTCAGTCATCACATGGGGCGTGTTGTAACAGGATAAGTTCACCTTTTTACCTAACCCGCAATACCAAAACTCCATAAGGGCATACTAGGTAAAGCCGCGAGCCGGCCGCAATTAGCCGCCGACCCAGATCAAACAGGTCTGCTGAGAGCGCCCTCGGGGTGTCGTTTACAGCAATGGACGACCTTTCCTAAGCTTTGTTTTTGCAAAATGGTGTTACCTTGCCTTCGTGTCGCAGATCCTTTCTTGCCTCGACCCAGATCGCGTGCCTGCAACAGCAGCAACCGTCGCCGCTGTTGCGATGGCCACGAAATGAAGGATGCTGGAGACCGACCCCGTTGTCGCGGCTGGCTTGTAGGCTGCCAGATTGACATGGCCCCGACGTGGAATCCTATCCAACCAGCTGGCCTGCCTTGCGTGATGTGGAGAGGCTTATGCCACTTTGTTGCAGTCACGGCAGCCAGCATAGTCGTATAGCAGCTTGATGTTCCGTTTACAGGACACGTTGCCTGAAATGGTGGGGACTGCAAATCCGTGTACGGTATGGTGACGATGTGGTGGTCTTGCTGTGCCCAGCTTTGTTGTGTCAAAGGACTGCCCATGCTTTTGTGCTGTGGACTTTAGATAGGACGGCTTTGCATTGTACATACGTTGTCGCATGTTGCTGTGCATCTTGGTCGTGATGGTGGCTACGCTTGTTGGGCAGGAGCCTCTTCTTGCGTGCGGCCGGCAGGAGTCCCAACTGAGGTGTGTGGGAGTGTGCAATGGAGCGGCGGTGTACAGCACATGTAATTTGGGGTATGTGGCGCTTCGCTGCCAAACACGAGAAATCGGAAATTGTGATTCCTCCCTTTGGGGCAGCACTCCGTCATGCAACCACTCACTGAGTTTAGCTTACTTAGGTCTGATTGTTTTGGGCCCCGGGGCGTGCATTTTGTGTGCCCGTAGCAATTGTATTCACCCAAACCAGCAGCAGCATTCCCCTTAGCCGGGGCAATGGTTTTATGGAAAACACCGGATATCCGAGAGAACCATTTAGGAGTCCAATACACGCACCCCCAATGCGTGCAGCTTTGTGTTAGGACCGGGGGTGTCAGTACGCAAAGTGCTTAGCTGCAATCCTTTATGACTTGGCATTCTACTTGATAGTGCTTCTCGCTATCTAGGCAGAGCTGTGTGCATACGGGTCGTCGGTAGGACTTTCCTTAGGTGGCAGGCGTTGAAGGCAGCCAGGATAGCGTCCCCCACCTTCAAATCCTAGATTTTGCTGCAGCACAAACCGAAACTCGCCTCTATAAGCAGGCATTACCTTCAATCCATGTGCGAATTCCCGTTGAAGGGAACGAACACTTCGCGCAGCCCACTGGGTATGAAAGCGTGTTGGGAACGACATGCCTAAAGCGAGGCGCTCATGTTCAACTTTCCCGTAGCCCAAATGTGCGTTACGTGTGAGATTTCGCCCATGTTCTTAAAGTGTATGTCATTCAGTAGAGGGGCTCGGTGAACCCTTCAATCAGGCGAGCACAGCGTGAACGCTTCCAAAGGATACTAAAATAGTGTTTCATAAGTTGCGTGAAATCATACTGATAGTTCCCCTAGTTCTATGCGTGTCGTGAGCCTCTTAAGCCGGGGGATGTCCCCAATGCCACGCGGTACCAGTTAAACTATCCCTTGCAGGCAGGTCATCGCGCGCAGCACAGGTGCCTTTATAAACAATAGAAAGTCTTCTGAATTCTGAAGCTACAGCGCACGACAGGGAAGCAGGATCCTGTCGTATTGTACAATGCCCTTAAATTGCACAGCATGCATTCCAAAAATATTATCGCAGACAACAACTGACAAATAGCGACTTTCCTATTTATCCGACAAGCAAGGCTTCTACTGTTCGTTGATGCTTGTATCGCAGTCGTGACAGCTCCCCCGGCACTTTCTCCGTTTTTTCTCCGCTCCACCCAAGACCACGCTTCCTTCTTTCTCTTCTACATACAACAATGGCCATGCGTGCTGTGAACCAGGCTGTTGAGGGCGAGAACGGTGTGATGCCCAACATGGCAGCAAAGGCCGCTGCTGGTGTGAAGGCTGGTGCTGGTCTTCAAGCTCAGAACAAGCGCCGGTGTGTACAGCTTTTACGCTTCATCTGCTTGGAGCTTTTGAACCCCTTTTGACGACCACCCCCTGCCCCGTAGTGCCCTCGGCGACTTGTCGAACCAGCAGCCCGCTGCTGCTGCTGGCAAGGCCGCCCTTGGCAAGGAGAAGGTGGGTACTATAAGTAAATTTGTTGCAAAGAATTCAATAAATCTTACTTAGCTGTCGGCTTTGTTCGCAGGCTACAGCTCCGGTTGCAGATGTTGGCGTCAAGACCCGTGCCGCGGCACGCAGGGCCGATGCTATCAAGGATGCTCCTATGCCAGCAGCAGCTGCTCTTAAGCCCGCACAGTTGGTGCCGCGCACCCGTGCGGCGGCGACCAACGCGCAGCGGGTCCAGGGCCCCAGCATGAGCTCGTTGCTGTCTCAGCGCAGCGAGGCCTTTGTCGGCAGCCAGAGCGTACGCGCTCCCCCTGCTTCACCTTTGCCTGATATCGACTCCGGTGACAAGCTGAACCCGCTTATGGCCGCGGAGTATGTCAACGACATCTACTACTTCTACAAGCGTGTTGAGCCCAAGTTCAAGGTGCCCGCTGACTATATGAGCAAGCAGGTATGTGTAATCCTTGCAAACTTTGCAAAGCTGGTTATCAGAAACTGTGCTAACGTGCGCTTTGTTAACGCAGACGGACATCAACGATAAGATGCGCGCTATCCTCATCGACTGGCTTGTTGAGGTGCACCTCAAGTTCAAGGTAAGTGTTTGGAATATGATTGTATGCGCGGCAAAGTTTATTGCCGTTATCAACCTATGTGGCTTTTCATCTTCTCCGTTCTGCATACCCGACTCCTTATGGATGACAATTCGCACTTTACATGGGAAATTTTGTCTTAGCATGCCTTGTTTTCACATGTGCCAAGCCTATTCCATCGTCCTGTCGCACGTGTATTGGGTATGCGGTCAGTACTGAACCCCCTATACCCGCTTTACCTGCCGCGCAGCTGATGCCCGAGACCCTTTTCCTCACCGTCAACCTCATCGACCGCTTCCTGAACGAGAAGCAGGTCACCCGCAAGAACCTGCAGCTGGTACGTGTAATACTTTGCCAGCATCATGTGCTCAAACTTTGAGCCGCCTATTGCTTTGGTGTCATATGTCAAGATATAGTGGGGCTTGTTTTCTCATATAGCTCGTATCCCTATCCTCCCGGCTACAGACCCCAACCCCTTACCCTTTACCCCTGTACTTTCCCCTAGGTGGGCGTTACATCCATGCTGATTGCCTCCAAGTACGAGGAGATCTGGGCACCCGAGGTTCGCGACTTCGTTTACATCTCGGATCGCGCCTACACCAAGGAGCAGATCCTGGGGATGGAGAAGGTCATGCTCAACACCCTCAAGTTCCACCTGACCCTGCCAACTACCTACAACTTTCTGGCCCGCGACCTCAAGGCAGCCAACATGCACTTCGACAAGGACGTCACAATGCTGTCCAGCTACCTGATTGAGCTGGCGCAGGTGGATGCCGGCATGCTCAAGCACAACTACTCCCTCATTGCTGTTGCCGCCCTGCACGTCGCCATGTGCTCGTACGACAAGCCGGACACCTACCCCCTAGCCCTGGAGAAGCACTGCGGGTACCGCCTGGAGGAGGTGCAGCCCGTGGCGAGCGCGCTGGCCGAGCTGATGCAGAAGGCACCCCATGGCACCCTCACCGCCGTGTGGAAGAAGTACAGCTCCACCAAGTACAACGAGGCCGCCAAGCGCGCGCCTCCATCGCAGCTGCTGCCCCAGCAGCCGGTGGCGTAAAGAGTCCTCAGCATGCTGCAACGCCCGCGCTTGCACCCTCCAACTGAGCTTGCGGGTCGCTGATGCGTTGCTAGTGTTGCCTACGTTAAGTGCTGTCGTGCTGCATGCCCATCTGGCTGTCTGTTACATCTTGGTTTCTATTTTTACCCCTTGACATCTTCGCTGCTTGACGCTTGACTCTGCGAGAGAGTGTACATACGCCATTGACATTAGCGTGCTAGGGTTAGGACTGTATTATGCAGCATAGCTGCAACTCTGTTCGACGCACAGATAGGACAGGCCGTGCTCCATACAATGACTAGTAGCTTGGGTTTTAGGCCCAAATTGTAGACACTCGTATTCATCCAACATGCGGATTATGAGTTTAGACATACGGACGTCAGTACCTACCTACTTGTGCTCGCATTTGAGCCAACTATGATGTGACGTTCCGGACGACGCCGACCTCTGCCGGCCTAATAACGCGGTCGTTCAACTTGTAACCTTTCTGCGAATTGCAAGCGGCCGAGGGTCTTAGCGTTAAATCACAGGACGCAGTTGCGCTATGTAGCTAGTACGTGTACTTGCCTTGGTGACGATGGCAATGGTGTTGTTCTCCTTCGTGGGGTCGGGGACGTCGAACAGGGCGTTGTGTAGGTTGGGGTCGAACGGTTGGCCCGCCGGGTCGTATCGCTCAACCCCGTTCTGCTTGAGCACCTGTGTAGTTCAGGGTTTGCATTTTAAGTAGCGTGCTCCTTTCGAGTTGTTGGTCCCTGTTATCAGTTAGGAGTTTTCTAGAACCCTTAAACAAAAGTGTTCTCGATTCGCACCTTCACCATGATGCTCTCCGTAGCGCGCACACCCTCCAGTAGTGATGACAGCAGGCTGCGAAGCTTCTCGGGAGCCAGGCCCCCATCCTCCTTCAGCGCCTCCGGTGGCACCACCCCGGCAGCTCGCTCAAGGTTGTCGGGTACGTCCAAGAGCGACTTCACAAAGCCCTGCATACGAGGGAATGGGGGAAGGGAAGTAAGACAACCAATGACGAAGGAACGCGTGCTATCGTGGGCACAAGCCCGCATCCCATAGCGCGCGACAAGGGGCATTCCGTAATTGTACCGGTAGGCCTGCGCCGGGCCGGTTGCGGGCAAGGGGGAGTACCTCGATATCCTTCATAAACCTAAACCCATTAACACCAGCTCAAGAAAGTGCGAAGTCCCGCACTCGCTCGAAGTACCTGAATCGCAAACTTCTTGCTCACATCCACCTCGCGTGCCGTCCGTGCTCGCAAGTTCTCCATTTCGGCGAGGGTGCGTTTAAGGCTATCCGTCAGAGATTCCACCTATTCAGGAGCAACATAGTTTGCTTTGGGTAAGAGCCTCCAGTGCCGTTTGATGTATAACAGGACCGCGGAACAGTTGCACGGTGACGGCAAACGGCACCTGCTGGGTAAGCTTAGCCGCAGCCTCCTCCTTTGCTTTTAGCTGAGCCATTAGCTCCTGGGCCGAAGTCTCAGCGCTCGCCGACGTGTCGGCCGCGCCGTCGTCGCTGGTTCCGGCCTTCGCCTCCTCCGCAGCGGCAGACCCATTTTTGTCTTCCTTTTTATCCTCCTTATCGGTTGCAAAGGAGCGCGACCAAAAGCTATTGCGCAGGAGGAAAGGCCGGGAGCGCAATCCGCAAGCCGTCAGCGGCTGGGCCGCCTCGGACCTACAGGCACCCAGCACCACCGAACCTAGACGTCTGAGTGGCATTGCACTCATAGTGCCTGTCTCTAGTGTGTCCCGGAGGCTGTCTGAAACAGTGATGGGTTGATCAGGAAAAGAACCGTAAACGGTATCTATAAATGGTGCAAAGATTTGGGCTTTTGCTTAAAGATAGTGCCAAAGTTAGCAAAGCCAGCTATATGTATTTGTGACGTGCTGATGCCACGTATGGTAGGGTCGGGCGTCTGCCGTAATAACATAAATAACTCCCACGCTCACCAACAAACCCCTGCAACATCATTTATATCACTGTATCCCTGCAGTGTACGTGGATACACATAGTGCTTAGTGGGTCGCCCTTCCTGAGAATCATCCGGCAACGTATTAACTTCCTGGACGCCTAGTCATGGTCTTAACGCAAAGCCTGGGAGCTACCAGGACCTCAGCTGTTTAGTGCTTTCAAACGGCTTGCATACTTCATAGTTAAGCTGGTGACTTCGGCCTTCCTGCTCCCTCGCCATTTCGGCTTTAGCATTGAAGAACAGTTTCTTAGGAAGTTCGGTGCCGAATCTCATTACCTGCAATGTATCAGCTGTTAAATAACACGGGTTTGTCTTGGCTACACTGCAACAGACTTCCTCCCCGACTATGTCCACATATTCCATCTCGTCAGCGCCACGTAGCTGCCCGTCCCATCCGGAGAGGTGGCCGCGTACCTCTGGCTCTAGCTTGGCTTGGACCGCTATCATGGGAAAAAGATGGGCTCAAACAAGAGCAGAAGCCTGCTGCGGCCTCCAAAAGCGACTCGCATCCAACGACATCTGCTGGCTACCAGCAAGCCGCGTCGAGCTGGAGCTCTAAAAGCAGATGCACTCCTATAGACAGCTACTCCCCAGAAGCAGAACTAAAAGCAGGAAAAGCAGCCGGTGGTGCAGGCATCGTCCTACCAGACGACCCGGTACATGGGAAACCAGCTGCCGAGCACCAGGCCCTGGGGCCGCAGATACTTGCAAGGCCACCCCCTCGGCGTCCCCAACGGTCTGAAGCGGAAAAGGGGACCGTCTTGACGTTTGCATACGGCGCTAACATGAACTTCCTGACGCTAGCCCGACGGGGTGTCCGGGTCCTCAGGTGCGGGACGGTATGAGACAGCTGGCACATTGTTAGACGGACTCCATTTTGTACTGTTTATGTTGTGGAGAAGGCACATGCGCCTGTGCGGGCTGGGACGTACTTCGGCTTCTACATGTAACCTCGGGTCTCACGGCCGACGCCGTGCTGCTCCGGTTATCGAGGTTTGGGTGCGGCTAGGGCATGACGTCGAGCGGTATTGAGTACGGCAGTGAGTTCCAGGCCGCCATCTTGTGACTACCGGTACCATTCTAACCTTGCCCTTACCTTGCCCTCGAACTCCCTAACTGTTGCCGTACAGTCGCGATCCTGCCTTCATATCGGATTCCGCTGTACGGCTGGTGTTCAAACACCGGGGCGGACATGCCACCCTGGAGCGTGCGGAGGCGGGGGAGGGCGGGAGCGCGGGAGGGAAGGTGGGAGCAGAGGGACATGGGGGCAGGTGAAGGGAGGAAGGGGATGCAGGGCAGGGTTTGGCATGCTGACCCGTTGGCAAGGCAGTTGGTGAGGCCGGGTTAGGGCTCTCGGGTATGGCAGGGGCACTGGCCGCGAGTATACACCCGGCGGGGCTTTGCTTGACTGGATGGTTGACTGGCTGTGGAGCACTGGGGCACAAAGTTACTGGGGCAGTAATGCTCAAGAGAGCAGTGCGTAATTGAGTGAGGGGGCATGGTGCGGAGCTTACTCCCTGCCGTTCTTTCGGACATCCAATGTGAGGGCTTGCCGTAACATTGCTGACAAAAGCTCCCCCCTCATCCTGGCCCTCTACCGCTCGGCGAACGCTGTACGACAGGACGAGGAGCCGCGGTTCCGGCCGTACGATGGGCGAGTGCACGGCGTGTTGTACCGCATGAGTCAGCAGGAGTTTGAGAAGCTGTCGAAGAGCGAGCGCGGCTATGTGCTCCAGGAGCTGGAGGTGGGGTTGGGTGGGTGGGAGTGGGGGCTGCAGGTGGGATGGCAGGGTTGAGAGGGGGAGCGGGCTAGAAGAAAGGGAACCCGTTACGAGTTCAGAATGGCCGGCTTGCCGTACTGCGCTTCACAACGACCACCGTGCCCGCACACGTCCCACCGTCCCACCTACAATCACACGCCATACGTGTCATGTGAGGCACCATGTGTGGACGTGTTTGGGGCGCCAGGAGTGAGCCGGGTTATCGTCGGTGCTCGTCAGTTAGTACCACACGTCCAATGCGTTTCCCTCACTCCCTGCATTACACAACCCCGCCCCCCGCCCCCCTGCCTCCCCCCTTCCATGCAGGTCCAGACGTACGACGGCGCTCGCCACGTGGCATCAGTGTTCGTATCCAACCCGCTGTTCCGACTGGGCTCCGAGGTGCTGCCGCCGGAGCAGTACCTGGCGGGGGTGCGCGAGGGCGCCAGGGACAACTACCTGGAGCCGGGATACCAGGTGGGGGTGGGGTGGGGTTGGGGCGGGGGTGGGGGTTTTAGGGTGGGACGGAATGGTGTCATGGTGTGAGGGATAGTGGGTTCGGGATACACGGAAGGGGTTGAGGTCTTGAGGAGGGGATGGGTGTTCTGGACAGCGCTGGGGTCTTGGGGACTCGGGGTACAGGTGGGGGAGTAGGGGGGGGGGCACGACAGAGGGTGGGTGAGGCAGCGCGATGCCAGGTTGTTGCCATAACGCCATCCCGAGCCAAGCTCCCAACCCACCTTCCCTCCCGCCCATCCCACCCGCCCCGCCCCAGGCCTTCCTGTCCGGCATTAGCACGGTGCCTGGAGCGGGTCTGGGCTCCGAGTACTACTCCACGCCCTCCAAGTACATGGCCTACTCGTTCCTGCTGGTGGTCGGGCTCATCGCGCTGGCCTACCTGTGCCAGCAGCCCTGAGCAGGCGGGGGAGGAGGAGGAGGCGGCGGAGGAGGAGGCAGGGGTTGCCGTGGCGCGGAGACTTGTTGCTCCCTGCATGCATGCGCGAGGAAGGGGCAGGTTGTGGGTGGTGGTGGTGGTGGTGGGAGGTGAGGGGGGGAGGCGGTGCGGCAAAGGCGGGCAGGAGGTGTGGAGTGTGTATTGGCTGAGGTCAGGACTGGGGAGTGAAGGCGAGTGCGGACGGCTTTGTTGCGATGTGCGTGCCGAGGCGTGGAGCAGGGAGCGCGGGAGAGGAGTGCGGTGCATGCAGGGCTTGGGTGGGTGCGTGCAGGAAGGGAGAAGGGCGCCTCCTGCACTGCATGGCACTGCACTGCACTGCATGGCGAACGGTGCTAGGGGCGGATGTGGGGCCGAGTGCCTTTAATCATTCATGCGATTGTTAGCGGGATGGCTGCTGGCAGGTATGTGCGATACGGGTTTTGTTGTTCTAGGTGGGCAGGATGAAGTCGGGAGGAAGGAAAGATAAGGCAGATAAGGGAGAAAAACACTGGAATCGTAGGTTCAAGGGCTCAGAGGCCTTTCCCGGGGTTGTGGTAGGGCTGGCTTAGAGCGCCTTCAAGCCAGCTTAATTGATGATTTGGGTCGGGAGATTTGCCCGACGTCACTTAGTGCGTCGCTACATGAATATACGTCGCATTGGTGGTGGAGAGCGTGTCGGGAGGGAGTCGGCGGCACGTGCGCCAGGGTGCGCCTACTACTATAGCCCTCGTTGTGTGTGCAGCGTTCATGTAGTGTGCTGCTAGTTTCGGTTTCGGATTCGGATGAAGGGCACTTGCAAGGAAGCATGACTCGATAACTCTTTACGTGTATGGTCTCGTACGACTTTCGATGTGTCGTTAGTTGATAGATGATATGGTAAAATAGAACCATTATCTAGGTTTTCAGACGCTTTCGTGGATGCGTTTGGGTGTTACATTATCCACATGCTTATAGTCCGCAACGAGTTAAGAGTTAAGGCAGCTTGCCTTGCTCCTGTATGTTCAGTCCTGTGCAGTTGTACAATACCAGCCTGCATATGCTCGCAGTGTTTTGCTTCGGTGGGCGCCATTGTTTGCAGGGGCGTTTGGCAAGAGTGTGTTGGGACATGGCCCTCATGGGTAGGGGTACGTGGGGAATAGCCAGTCTAGCTCTAGGCGTTAGGGACATGTGAGTGTGTTGGGTGTGTGGGAGGAGCGGTAGAGTTTTGGGTACAACACGCACATCGACAATGTTGCCATTATATTGTGGCATTTGTGGGGCTTCGCAGCGGACCCATGGGTCATACTCTGATCTTGGGTGACCGTGACCCCAACCAGCGTGTTCTCATGTCGACCACGGCAGCTGGGAGGTGGTTGGCCGTGTACGAGTGCCTTACCTTACAGTGTATACAATATCCAACAGGTTGGCGCGTGAAAGGTGGATCTTTCGGTGGCGTCTTCCCGGACTGGAACGATGTCGGCCTACATGGAAACTGGAAGAAGAGCTAGTGCCGTAGGCTTTTCTTGCCGTCGGAACGTGCATGTTGACGCCCTAACCTATGGCAAACTAGGCATGCGATGAACATGGTAACGCTCCTTGCTTCAAGTACCCAGAGCTTACATGGTCATCGTGGAGGCTGCGGGCATGCATGCCCTCCAGGAACCCCTGTTCCGACTCGCGGCCAGTTGCCTTGACACGTAGCCGTTGCGTCAACTGGACCCGCATGCCCGCTACATCTGCTGGCTTAACAACACACTTAACATCCTGGCAGGGACTGCGGTCAACGCACAGCATCTGTAATGCACCCAAGGAAGGGCCCCACAAGACCCGCTTGCCGAGGCACCGCAGCAAGGGCGCAGCCGACGTCGTGCCGCGCACGTACGACAGAGCACCACAGCGGTTGTCATTCGGGCCTGCATGCCTGCTTACCCCTACCTTCATGTTCAACTGCTGCAATCCTTACCAGCCCCTACTACGCTCCCCGTAGCGCCCTGTACGCTGTAACAACAGCCTAACACTAGCTGGCGGTCCCTCAGGTATTACGACATAGCACCGATGGAAGGAACACGAGAGGAAATGTTGAGGCGTGTGAAATGATGGTGAACACTCCGCCACCTTCCTACTAGCTTACGAAACATGCACAGCCAACGCTGCACCAGCGCATAAGCAGACATCCTGCGAATCGCACGCACTGACAGGTATACCCACATAACCATGGAACCGCATCACGCCATTACTCACACTGCCGTGCAAGCAATCACCCAGCAGCATTCCGGCAAGGCTCTTCACGTTCAGCAACGGGCTCTTCCCCACTTTGCCTTTAATCTTCAGTTTCCCAGCAATCTTCCGTACTCGTTCGCAAGGCTAATCGCCCTACAGCTTTCCCCGACAACACGGCAACAAACTTCACCCCTCCGCTAATCCTTCCTCGTCTTGCGCCGCTTCCCACCCGCTCCCGCGCCTTCCCTTGTGGCTGGGGCCACCGCCTCCTCCCTCCCCTCCTTAGCCGCAGCCGCAGCCCCCGCTGCTGCTGACCTGCCAGATCGGCGCAGAGGTAGAGCCGGAGCCCCCTTCGTCGCGCCAGCGGCAGCCGTACCTCCTGTTGCTGCCGCCGCTGGTGCTGGTGCTGGTGCTGGTGCGGGTCTTGGTGGCTTGGCGGGCAGTGGAGGCTTGGCGGCGGCAGTAGCAGTCCACTGGCGGCCTCCGGCCCTGGTAGCCGCCGTGGCAGCAGTGCCAGCGGGGACCCCGACCCGCACAAAGCCCCCACCGCCGCCGCCGCCGCCGGCGCTGGCACTGCCGTTGTCTGGCTTCCTAGACAGTGAAGGCCGCCCGCCTCCACCTCGCCCACCACCATCATCACCACCACCGCTAGCATCCACTTCCGACCTGCTGTTGTTGCCGCTGGGCGGCTGCTGCTTTCCGGCTTCAGGGGCCTTCGGAAGGCGGGACGTCCCCGCGGCTGCGACTGTAGCTGCGACTGGAGCCGTGGCTGTAGCACGTAGGGGCACTGACGAGTTCCTCCGTTGAACCGCTGAAGCCGTTGTGACACCGGCAGCAGTGTCATCCGCCATGTTTGGGGCTGCTGCTGCTGCCCCGGCTGCAGGAGGGGGTGCGGGTCGCCCACCCAAGGGGCCCACCGCGGGTGCTTGTACGACATCGCGTGTCGTACCTTGGCCACCAGCAGCGCCAGGAAGAGGAGCTTGCTGTACCGGCCCGGAGGTGCACGCCCGTACGGCGGCCTCGTATTGCTGTACACTGTCCCCTGCCGCCGCTGCTGCGCTGCAGCCACCTGCTGCTGCTGTTGGAGCTGCTGCGGGGCCGGCGCCTCGTGCTGCTGCTGCTGCTGGTGCGGTCTGGGCTTGAGGGACCTGAGGGGCCGCCGCCCTCTTGGACTTCCTCTGCTCTCGGTGGCAAGCAGGTGCGCGGGGGGAGGTAATTGGCTCCAGTGTACGGTTAGTAGGTGGGTGATTCGGTGCTGCTGAGAGAAAGAAAGGAACAGCCGAAAGTGCATGCAGCATTCTAATGGCTGCTCCAACGGCAACGAGAGCCCAACACAGCAAATCCACGACGCAAACCCACCTGTAGTGCCGACCCTTGGGTCACTCGCGCCGCCAGCTGTCCCAAGAGCTCCAACAGCTTGCGCTGCACCGCCGCCGCGCCGCCCCGCATCGCCGCCGCCGTCGCCACGTCAGCAGATGACGCCGCCGCCGCGGCCGCTGCATTAGTTGTGCCGGCGGCAGCGGCGGGGGCGCCGCTGCCACCATCCCCGCCGCCGCCAACATCATTAGACCCGTCGGCGGCGGCACCCAAGGCACCGCCGCCAGCACTGCTTCCGCCGGCGCGGTACCTGCTCACGTAGTCCCGGAGGACTTGAACCGTGGTCGTGCTGAAGGTCTCCATGACCCATGGGTCGCGCAGAGCAGCCTATTTTTATGGAGGTTGTGGACTTCAGCATGGTGACCGTGAAACAACAGGAAGGGAGGTTAGATAGCACACAGCGCTACGAAGGATCAGCATTGCGGGATTGTGACATGACTCCTTACAATGTCCGATTATCGGTAGTTGCGAACATGGGTTGTTAACCGATTTACAAGAATACTCAAGGTACCCGCCGGCAGCAGCCACCTCCTCCTAACAACCAAAGTAAATCCTTACCTGCAGCTGCGGCAGCAACGCCCCAAGCGCCCTTGCCGACGGAGCCATCACCCGGAGCAGCAACAGCGCCGCAGCAGCTGAGCAGGAGGAAGAAGAAGACGAGGAGACGCCGCTGCCACCAGCCCCAGCTGCTGTTTGCACCGCCGCCGCCACAGCCGGCAACGTTCTAGCGACATCACCGTGGCCATCACCAGTGACCCCAGCTAACAAGCCGTCCTGGCCGCCGCTGCTGTCGCCGCCATCGTCGCCGCCGCCGCCGCCGCTACATATGGCTTGCAGTGTCGGCAACGCCAGGTCGTCGCTTTGGAGGTCCTCAGCGCGCAGAAACGCCAGGAAGCTGCTGCTGCTGCCGCTGCTACTGCTGCTGTTGCCGCCACCGCCATCCGCCAGGAACACCTCCGAAACCAGTCGACTGCGTAACACCGCCGGACAGTTCCGAAGCAACCCGTGTACGGCAGCGATTCGTCGCTGACTGCCGTACTGACCACCTCCGCCAGCGGCGGCGGCGCCAGCTGCTGTCGTACCAGTTGCAGATGCTCCAGCGGCAGAAGCAGCAGCCGGTGAGGAGCTCGTGGAGCGGATCAAGAGCGCCGCCGCGGGTAGCGCAACCTGGACGAGTGGTGGTGCACGAGGAGGAGGAGGAGGAAAGGCCGCATGCGATTACGGCGGGGGACCGCAGCGTCTGATTGTATTTTGCTGCGGGCCTGTTGAGAGCGTGTATCTATGTCTATCAAGAGACTGTAACGGTAGCATGTGAGAGGCCACAAGATTACAGTCAGCGTGCAACAGAATGCACAAGACGAATGACGAAGGAGGCCCTACTGTACCGGTATACCCCTATTGTACGGCACCCTCCCACCTGTTGCCGTACATCGCCCTCCGCCAGCAAGCACACCGCAACCGTACGGTAGCTGGACGCCGACCACTGCAGGCGGCCGGTGCCCAGCAGGCGGCAGTAGCAGCTCACAGCGGTCGGCAGGAGCGCAGCTGCACATGCTGATCTGTGAACCTGCTGCTGCCGTTGCTGCTGCCGTTGCTGCTGCCGTTGCTGCTGCCGTTGCTGCTGCCGTTGTCCAGGAGGTACTCCCTTCTGGATCAGCAGCAGCGCCGCTTGAATCAGCTGCTCCATAAGGCCCACCAAGTGGCGGTGGCGGTTGGGGCTCCGGAGCACCAGATCGTGCGCTACAGCCAACGCCTCGCACACGAGACCCGCGGGTCGCTCCTGCCAGCGGGACAGCAGCTCTGAGACCAGGTTGCCGTACCTCTCTGACAACCGCCGGGATAGCGCCAGGAGGCGACCCAGGGCCCGCAGCGCCAGGACCTACAGTGCAAGGGGGAGGGTAACGCGCCAGGAGGTTCAGGGGCAAGGCACCCTATCTGAGCGTGACAGCCGCAAAGCTACTACCGGTAGCAGTGGCTGGCAGTGGCAGTGCCTGCCCAAGAAACTGCTCGCCGCTTGCCGTCTAACTACCCCAGGCTAAGAAAGACCATCTAGACCCCCTTACACCCAGACCCATACCTGCAGCATCACAGGAGTGTCACCACTACCACCGCCGCCACCGTCGCCGCTGCCTCCTGCACCAGCTTCCCCTGCCCCCTTCCTCGCATCCGCCTCCGCCCCCGGCGCCGCCCCCAGCAGCAGCTCTACCAGCGCAGGGGCGTGAGTAGCTGGCGCCGACGCCTCCATGAGGCCCTCCAACATCCGCTGCGCGGCCTCCCGACTGCCCCGGTCCTCCTCCGCCCGCTGCATGTAGTCCTCCCCGCCTCCCTCCCCCGCCTCACCCTCCTCGCCCGCCTCCTCCTGCTCCTCCTCTTCCTTTTCCTCCTGCTGCTGGGGCCGCTTTGGCTGCAAACCCCAGGAACGCTCTGCTCTGTCGGCGTCAGAAAAACCATCCTTCGTGCCCTCACCGCCCCCGCCCCTGCTGCCAGCGTCACCCTTGCCGCCACCCCCCCTGCCGCCGCCGCTGCCATGACGCCGGCGCTCCTCTTGTAGGCGCTGTACGAACGCGGCTCTCTCGTGTTCGTACAGCCGTGTCATGTGGGTGAGGATGAGCAGGTAGCGGAGCAGCGGGGCGTCTGGGGCGGAGGAGTGGGGCTGCTGCGGGTGGGGCTGCGGGTGGTGGTGGGGTTGCGGAGGTTGGTGTTGCTGCTGGGAATGTTGCTGCTGCTGCTGCTGCGGCGGCGGCTGGGGTTGTTGTTGCTGCCTGAGGGCCCTGCAGGCTGCTCGCAGGTGGCGACTGAGTGTGGGGGCACAGCCGGGGCATTTGGAGAGGGCCTGAGGCGGGTGGGCGGGCGGGTGGGTGGGTGGGTGCATGAAGGGGAAAAGCAAGGAGGAAAGGGGCGAGCTCGGGGGCTAGGTTAAGGCGGGTGTTGGGGCTAGGGTGCAAGGCGACCAACAGAACGGGACCTTCGCAAGCCATGCGCAGAGTCAGCAAGACAACATATACATTGGGTGCTCCAGCCCTGCGTTTCTCCTGCCCCACTCCCCTTCCTCTCCGCTTTCCCCCATTCCTTCCCCTCTTACCGCATAGGCTGCATCCATCGCCTCCAAGCTGCCGTATTTTAGGATCCTTGGCATGGCTCGATCCAAGTACGACAGCACCAGCCAACCCAGATCCGCACTCAACCCCAAATCTAACCGCAGCGGCGCATATGGCAGCGTCGG